AGCCAAGAAGTTCCATTATTTTCAACCTATAAATCTGCACAAGACAGCATATCCAAAATAAAGCAACAGCCCAGGCATAATTACAAATATATATTTCCAGTAACGGTAAATAAATAAATATCCTCTAAGTACAAAACAGCAGCAGTTTGCCAGGAAAACTATATTGCATGTTAGAATATCCCATGGGCTCACTGGAATACAGTTGCAGTGAAAAATACAGGAGACATTCTCCTCCTATCACTGTCCACAGTACTCTGCTGATTTGGGAATTAGCAAAAAGTGAGGAAACGAAACACACTCCAAGTTGTACTCTTTGCTAATATGCACACAGCCTGGCAGGGAGAGGGCTGCCAGGGAGAGCTGTGCTGTTCATCCTGTCAGCAAGCATCTGTGGGGATGGTATGAAGATGTGCAACATTGATGGAGGCACCTTGCCTTCAGCTCCTAATGCCCTCAGTACACGGTGCCACACGAGCAGTCTTGCTGACTGTATAGGAAGTGATTGCAGAAGTGAATGGTACTCACCGAGGTTGACAGCAATGCTGTGTTAGCCCAGATTACTTAACTTTTTGGATAGGTCAGCAGCAAGAGATTAGGAGCAGGCCTCAGCATGGGTTTAAGTGTGCTGAACCCTGTGGCCTTCACCATTCCTAGCTCCCACTGGCTGTCAGCCTGGCTGCCACAGACATGCTGAGTGAGCAAACTGGGCTGCACGCACTCACATCACTCTTGACTCATCTGGCCATGAAGACGCTGGGAGCATACTAAGGCATGCAATGTTCTCACACCCCTCTGGAGTTTGTTTTGAGCCTGGTTGTGCTGGTGAACCCGAGTTTGACACCAGATTTGGATGTTCTTAGAAAGACTGAAATGGAAATAGTGTAAACAGGACTGAGACTGAGGCTAAGCATAATTTAAGACCATGCAAAGATAAATCCCACTTACAGGTCTAGTACACTGTTAAAAGGAATTGGATTCTGATAAAAGTTTTGGGTAGCTGCAAGCTAGGCCTTGCAAGCCTGGTATCTTATCTGCCTCACTCTTGAAGTTGAATATCCAAAGTTTCTTTAAATATCTAGGTGCTCGTGGCATGTGTGACAGACAGTTTCCTTGAAAAGACAACCAGAAAGCTCAGTGGTGAGTAGTAGCCCACCTACAGCTACCCAGAGAGAAAGGAGTGATCTTTGCTCCACATAGAAAAAATAATTCCCTGCTCTCGGAATCCAAAGCTCTGAATCTTTACCTTAAATCAGGAACCTGTGAAGAAACTGGGCGCTTACTCAGGCAACCTCTTAAATGACATAACAACATCACATTTTGCTCAGCCTGAATGCATTGAAGCTCCCATCCCCATTTCTCAGGAGTGTTCACCAAATGTCTTGCAAAACGTTAAGCTGGGAGGCCCTCTCCTGTTGAAATGAAGTATGTGTGATTTACTGCACAGAAGGGCACACAATGCAGCACAGGTCTAGGAACTAGTGTTTAGGTTAGTCAGCTACAAGCCCTGAAATTTGCTGTCAGCTTGTCACAGTGTTTCTTTCTGGGCTGGGTTTTTGTCGTTTTTTTTCCTCCACGACTGCCTAAAGCAAACCTGAAAGCAGAAGCAGACTACTGAAAAAAATCAGCACTACACAATGCTGTCCCCCTCTCCAGACGCTGCAGGACAGCTCAGTTTTAACCCCAATCTTATTCCCTGTCCTCTCTCTGACATACAGCTGGGTTGTTAAAATAGTCCTTGATACTACAGGTTTGCATCTCCTCCAGCTGACAAGGGAATCAAAGCCACTTTCTGGCTGAGTCTTCCAGACAATGCATAAAATAAGGCTTGTCATCCAACTCCATTTGAAAAAAAAGACTACAAGTGTGTTAGAGGGAGTAAACAGCTGATACTGTCCATGTATTTTACAGGTATTCTCATCACACACCACAGATTAGGGCCCTCAAAACCTGCTCTGCTTAGAGCTTGGCAGCTGGCAAGGTTTAGGATGGAGCTGGAGAAAAAGGCTTCTGAAGTGGGATAGGTCAGCCCAGTGCACCACGCGGACAGAGAACAACACATACCGAGTTTTCTCCTAGGGTTAAATGGAGTTTCTAAATTGACACCTGAAATCCACCTCAGTCCCGTTTTAGCTGTTTAAATCTTTCATAGGATCTGATTCATCTTGCACAAAGAAGTCCAGACCTTTGCTTCACCAATACAATGTAGCCTACAACAGTTCCTGCACTGGTATCTCCAGGCACAAGCCTGTAGAACCTTTACCCTTGTCTTAAGCAAACTAGGAAAAAAAAAGAAAATAAATTTGTTGAAAAATCCATTTCTGACTTACCCAGCAAATATTTTTTATTCTCAGAGGTAAAGATTTAAACCAAAACACGCAGATTTGCTATCTCCTCTTTCTTACCTGGACTGAAATCAATATTACATCCATCAGCAAAACTAAAACATGACACAGGAGAAGAATCACTTTTGACTGGCCAACAGGGAGACCCTTTCAAAACTCTCCAAACCTACAGCGCATGCATAAAATTAACTAGTGAGGTGTACAAGCTGCAACTGAAAGCATAATAACTTAGGCAAGTCAGTGTGTTTAAGGTTGTTCTTTCCTACTATTTCCTAGAACAGCCATATCCAATGTTTTGGGTTTTTCTTCCTTTCTTCATTAGAGTATCTCCTGAGAGAATAACCCACCATAGAGATTAGATCACCTGAGAGACTCTATTACTCTGCAAAACATCTTTAAGTGGAATTACTTTAAAGATTGCAAATAGTTGCTTCTTCTACCTGTGATAAAAAGGTAATTTAAAAATACTTTACATGAAATAAAAGACTTTGGATTGTGCTAATTTATTGCACTAAACCTGAGGGAGTTACACCATTACTAACCTGAAGCTTTTGTACAAAGCTGTTGTTCCTGGAAAGCAACTCAGTGTTCAAAGTTTTATTTTTTTTTTTAATCCTTCCTAGCTGTAAAGGGATTGGATAGGTTCCTCCTCCTCCCTCGCATTGTTGTAGAGAGAAGCTAGTTTTCCCCAAGATTTTGTGTCCTGTTGTAACCATGTAAAAATACTCTGACCAAAAAAGTAAAAAAGCGTATTTCTTCTAACAACATCAAAGTATTTAATAAGCATGAATTATGGCTTACAATATCTATGTGAGGTTGCTATGATTGTACTGAACTGAACTGATAAGTAATCTGAAGTCAAGATAAGCACAGTCAAACTGATGGGGCCAAAATCTCAAACTCAATCTCTGTTAGGGCCCTGAGCACACCCTCTCCCTCCTAGGCATTTGGCTCCTTGGGCTAAGCCCCAACCTCAACACGCACCTGTCAGGCCTTGAAACAGATCTGTAAAAAGAGCTGTCTGAGAAAATGCAGGAAGAAGCCTCACAATATCTTGCCCCTTTTCTTGGATGATGCATTTAAGTGGAGGCTTAACCTTAGTCTCTGTTGTAGGTCCACTTGTGCTTGGTCTTGGATCACAGTCACAAAGTCAGACAGGTCAGGGTTGGAAGGCACCTCTTCAGAGGGACCATCTTGTCCAACAACTCCCCTGATAGAACAGGATCATCTGTGGTAGATCACACAAGAACATGTCCAGGCAGGTTTTGAATATCTCCAGAGATTCCACAGCCTCTCTGGGAAGCCTGTTCCAATGACTCTGAACCTGATCCTGATCTGGCAACTTGACTTTTAGGCTAGACCTCAGACTTGCCTCCTGTCTACAGGCCTCTTGGGTTCATAGTGGACCCCAGCTGACCCTGGTTTCCATCAAAGGTGTGCTCCAGCCTTCCATCTAATGTCCTGTGGGACAGCACCCTTGCTGCATCCTGGCAGTCACTAGCAGGGACAAGTGAATAAACCAAACATCTAATTTTAACTATTAGGCAACATGCTTTACAGACACATGCACATGCATGTCAACATAAAACACAAAGTTAGGCTTACAAAAATGGCATAGGAAACTACCAATCACATGACCACGATTTTAAAAGAAAAATCTATTGCCTTTCCAGAGCATTGGGTGTCTGAGAAACTCCTGTATGGCAACAGGAGAAACAAGTGTTTTAACAGGAGTAACAAGGCTTCTTATCACTACCAGTAAGAAATTGCAGTGTGCTTTGCCTCACCAGTTCAACAGGGCTATTATATCCTTTAGCTACTTATTAACCTAACTAGTAATGACAAAAAAAAAAATAAAAATCACACACCACGAGCCTCTTACTAATCTCAAATAATACCATAATAATACTAGCCAACCCCAAAGGGAATGCTTTTTGTTAATTTTTCAGATTTAGTGCTCAAACAACTAAGCTGCATGTTTAATTAATGTATTTCAGGAAATGAGATAATTTTCTTTCATCGTATTTGAGTTCCATTACTGATGGAAGCACTTGCAAGTATCAGAAATAGTTGGAGATATTTACAATAAATTAATTTAATTACAAAAATCAAAAGCAAATATTTAAAGCCATGCAAAACGTGCTGATACAGATGTTTACAAAGTATAAATAATGGATAATGTGTCTGTGTGGTAAATGCAAATTATTCTAATTGCACAATGCCATCAAGCTATCTGAAGATTCAAATTCCTATTTAAAATATATGTATTATTTAAATTATTTCACTATTAGTTCATTAAGCTCCAAATATAAACTCTTATAAATAAATACACTCAGCATTTCAGCTTCCCACTCATGTCTCTCATCTTTCACATAGATCTAATATGCACAGTCCTTATTCTTACAAAAATGCATTCAAGGAAGAAACACCCTATGGGAAGTTACACTGATTTCAAGAAAAGTTCTCATTTTTGTATCTTACGAGACTTCTAAGAATATATAAGGGGAATATAGGGTCTGTATATAGATTATATGCAAAGTCAGCATTAAACAGAAGGAGTCACAATGACTGCTCTGAGCTCTGCTGTCCTGGTCTAGACTCCTCTCCCTCACAGATGCTCCACAGCAACTGTGCTGTGGAGAGACTCCTGAGTATTGGATGAGCCCAGGAGAACAGCTGACAGGTGAGAGAGTAATTTATACTCCTAATTCAAAATCTTGCTGGATTGCCTTCTTTGTCAGAGGCCAGCCTAGCCCAGGCAGCTACACTGCCTGTGGAAATATGTAAGACCCTTGCCAACCTTTTGACATGTGCTTATCTGTTAGCAGGAGCAGTTTCACTGAAGTCTGTTTTCAGAGCAAAGTGATCTGTGTGCCTAAGTGTTTAAGAGCTGAGATTTGAAACGTGCAACCAGAGGCTGGCAGTGTGACATTTCCAAATGTCCTTCAGCACCTGATCATTAGCAAAGATCAGCAATACCCTAATATTCAGCAGCGCTGAGTTGCAATTGGAGGGTCATGTGATTTTTGGAGCACGGAGAGCTCTGACAAAGCCTATTTCAATGTGCAAAGTATGCTAATGCAACATATGGCTGTTGTGCTGAGCCAACATCTTAGTCAACGCTTTGCCCCACCCACCATCTACTACACAATCTGAAATACCTGCTGAGCAGCAGTACAACAAACATAATTAATTAAATGTCAGTCAGCCAACAGTAACCACCAACAGCATCTAGGACAATTATTTCCTGAGTCAAGCTGAGATGAATACCACAGAACTCAGCAGCCCCAGTGTCGTAATTTTCGGTGAAAAGTGGTTGCTGTTTTATAGATAACAACCACAGCAGCGTTGCCTTCAACAGTGGCATCCTGTTTAACATCTTCATTCATGATCTGGATGATGTGGCACAGTGTCATCTCAGCAAGTTTGAAGAGAAAAGAAGAGAAGGAGGAGTGGCTGGTGTGACAGTAGGTTGTGCTGCCATCCAGAGGGATCTTGATGGTCCGGAGAAATGGTCTGACAGGAACCCCATTAAGTAAACAAAGAGAAGTTCAAAGCTCTGTATCTGTGGAGAAACAAGCCCATTCAACAGTATATGCTGGGGGCCACTGAGCTGGAAAGCAGCTTGGCAAATGACCTGGTGGTCCTGGTGGACACAAAGTTAAATTTCAGCCAGCAATGTGCTCTTGATGCAAAGAAGATAAATGGTATCCTTGGCTACGTTAGACAAAGTACTGCCAGCAGGTTGATGGAGGTGATCCTTCCTCATTACTCAACACTGGTGACTCCGCTCCTGGAGCACAGCTAACAACAACTAGGGTGTCTGGAGAAGTCTCTGTCCATGACAAAATGACACAATGGAGACGTGGCTTCCATTTGTCTCTGGAGCAGGAGGAGTACAGTGATGTGTATCTTACAGTATCTTGACTAGCAGCTAAAGAGTAATTTCTAAGAACTCCTGAGGCACCTAGAATGAGTCTGCTGATGGCTGCCATGTAGATACATAAAGAGTTTCTCAGATCATGGAACAGGTTGAGGGCTGCTTTAGGGCACAGTCATATCTGTTCTGCTTTCCTCAGCTTTCACTAGCATGAACTCTGATTTAAAAGACTTCCATGGCCCTGCTTGTGTCACTGCCAAATCTTTCTTTTTCTGTAGCAAAGGTGTCATTTAATCTAGAATCATAGCATAATTTGTCAGGTGGGACCTTTGGAGGCCACCTGGTCCAAGGCATTTTCTTCAGTATCTCAAAGAACAGGGATCCCACAGCTTCTCTGGGCAACCTGTTCTAGTGTTTGATCATCCTCACTGTAAAGAATACTTTGCTTGTATCTAGAAAAACAAACATCCCCCCTGCTACAACTTGCACCCATTGCTTCTCATTTGTTCACTGTGTGCTGCCAGGAAGACTATGGGTCCATTTTCTCCATAGCTAATCATTAGGTTGTTGAAAAAAGCCAATTAATTGCCTTGATGGCCTTCTCTTTTTTGAACCAAAGAAGCCCAGCTCTCTCAGTTTCCCCATTTTATAGGGAGTCATTGTGCTATTGCTTCCCTGAGTCAAATATGGCACAGCAGTGTATGTTTTCTATTCATTGCAGATATTAATCATGTTTCATTAATCATATTTATTAATGATGCAAACCTGGATAAGTGGGACTCAACTGTCTGTGTATTTATCAGCCAGAGCACTCAACGATTGCTACCATGTTAATTCTGTGTAGTAGAGGCAGGAACAACTTCTAAAGGTCCAACGCAGAATTTACTGAAATAAAAGTAAAAACTCAGTCCTGCCTTTAAGTCAAGTCTTTAAGTCAACTGCCCTTTTCAGACTTTTACATCTCTTTTCACAATGAAATAGAAAAAGAGGACTTTTCCTCATGCAAAGGCAACTTGGCATTTTTTAATAAGCCCAAAAAACTTGAAAGAGTTACAGTGTTTTATGTACAAACAGAATTTAGAAACAAAGTAGGTTATTCCTCACGTACAGAACAGATGTACTTTCATAATGTATTCTTAAGTCTTCAAATTCCTCTGTGGATTTCTAAGGACCACACAGAAGCAGATCCACTACATCATAATATTTTATTACACTATGTGATGCTAATACCCACACCAATTATGCAAGCTGCCATTGTTTCATGACCATGCCGCTCCTATTTATTTTCTTTTGTGCACTTCAAATTGACAACAATAATTGCTGCCTACATGCAGGTAAACTCCTGGGGTCCACCTCTAGAGCAAACAGCAGCACGGCAGGAATGACACCCTTCATCACACAGAAGGGACTCCCTCTCCAGCTACTTGGTGCATAAGTAACTAACTGCCTATCCTGTGTGCAAGCCAGTGCTGCTGATCTGGCAGGATATATGTTGGGCTGGAGTGGAAAGGCAGAGCACTGCATTGTCCAGATGGCAACCAAGGGCTGCATGTCTATGAAACAGACACCTTTATTTTGGAGAATGGGTGTGATGTTGAAGGCCACACTTGGGTACCTCTCTGATGGAGCAAGCCTGCTGTGCTGGTCTTGACTCAGACAAACTCCCTTGTTTTCAGCTCAAATTTGCTGGAGTGAACACTAACAAATATCTAGGGATTAGACTATTGTATCCCATTTGCTTCCAGGAAGATGGTGATGGTAAGAATAATGATGAGAACCTTGTGATTAATGTCACATCTAAATTTACATAAAAGACAATGCTGCACTTCAGAAATTTCTCATGTTCTTAAGGGAATTGAGTAAGTGAAAAGAGAATTTGAAATGAGAGCAGGGTTTTGCCCACGCTGCATTTATTTTTTTTACTACTTTCACCAGTCCAAGGAATACTAAAATTGTACTTTTGTCATGACTCTCACAGAACAGTGTCTGATTCTCATGTTTTGTTTTGCTTTGGCCGTTATGTGATTGGTTGGGTTTTGGGTGTTTTGTTTTTTTCCTCTTTTTTTTTTTTTTTTTTTTTTTTTTTTCCTCTAACCATGACTTCTGCTATCTTGGGATTTTTGATGTGGGTGGATGAATATGATGGTGAGAAGTTGAATCAGTTCAATGAGAACCCTGCAAGCTGCCAAACTAAACCATGAGCTCAGCATTAGCAGGAAGTTAAGCGAGAACAGAAAACTCTCTTTTAAGTAGGACAACCTGGCAATTGTGCTATCATTCTTAAGCCCTACCATCCAGAAGCAATCAGAGGTAACACCCAAATAGTTTTCAAGAGCTGCTATAGGCACAGTACACTGGAGATCCCCTAAACTATCTGGAGCTGCTGTACTCAAATGGCGACATCGAGCTCTTCAGTATCTACTCAGAATAATGACTACTATCTTTGTTTGCCTGAAGGTAAATAATACTCCTATCAATAGTCAAAGGCTCAGCTCTTCTAAGAAAATCAATTACACTAAAGATTTCCTGAAGTATTATACACTGTCTGAGAAGGGTAGCAGAAAAACAATAAATCTTGAATGGTTTTACATTGATGTCATTATTTTTATGCTCATCTTCAAGCATGACAAAGAATTTTTTCACCATTTAGGCAAATTTTTACCTACCATATAACGATTAAAAATAATTCAAAGCTTATATTTGAATTAAGAAAGGATATTCCTAGAAAAGGAATCCCAGTATTTTTTGAGAATAAACAGAATAAACAGCCAGATGTCGTGATGCTTTCTCAGCCTCTTTGGTTTACAAGATGAGAACAGAATTCCCATCAGACTTGAGGCTTTTTTTTTTCATTCTTGTAGGCTGGAAATACAAGAACAACTTTTAAAATTATACCCAAACAAGTCCATATTTGACCCAAAACAAAACCACACAGTCACAAAACTAATAATATTTTCGAATGTCAAAAAATAATTGTCTCTCATTTCCATTATATTTGGGATAAAGGGGTGACCTCATAAAAAAAAGGTGAGTGTCTGGAGGATGGAGCCAGGCTTTTCTCAGTGACGTCCAATGACAGGACAAGGGGTAACGGGTGCAACCTAGAGCACAGGAGGTTTCACATAAACATAAAGAAAAACCTTTTCACTGTGAGGGTGACAGAGCACTGGAACAGGCTGCCCAGAAAGGTTGTGGAGTCTCATTCTCTTCAGACATTCACAACCCACCTGGATACATTCCTGTGTGGGGCTCCTGCTCTGGCAGGGGGGTTGAACTAGATGATCTTTTGAGGTCGTTTCCAACCCCTAACATTCTGTGATTCTGTGATATAATCAAATATCTTTCATTCAAATGGGTGGTTAATTTGGATGTCACTGAAATAGCAGACTCCTTAGATTAAGGACCTGGAGTCCAGGCCAGAAGGATTAACAGTTTCCAAAAAAAAAAAAAAAAAAAAAAAGGCAAGAGATGCAAAATTTGGAATAGCACTGCAAGGTAGAAATTTCTGAGCCTCAGCAAAACCTATATAATTTCTAGAGTTCTGTCTGAGCAAAGATTCAGGTCTAAATGTCTGAAAGCTCCTCATTTCATTATAAATGCCTTTACAATTCTTTATGTGATTTAACAGGATATGAATGATAAAGAGACAGAACTGGTAGAACCAGAGGATTATTTTATGTTCTGCAGTATCTTGAAGAAGTACAGGAGTCACAAAGCAGGACGGCAAAAAGAAATTTTCTACTCTTAAAATTAATATCAGTTGGCTTTTCTGGAGGCAATCCCCTGGGGATCCTTAATTCCTATATTTTCTGACAATTTTTTTAAAAGCTGGAGTAAAGGGTTGCTTCAGGTTCCTCGGAGTTTGAACCACAAATCAACACAGCCAGATTGTTAAGAGACACCTCATTTACCCCATTTACAATCTGTGCATCCATCCCTTTTGTAAGCACAATTTGTCAGAAGCATTTACAATGCTGTTTGAAAAATCTTACTGTTCTTTACGTCGGCACAAGCTGCTTCCCTCCCATGTTTCTGTGGTAACTTCACCTCAGTACACACGGGAAAAGTCACATTCTCACATTATTTGCTGTACTTTCAGCTAGTATCTGAACACACTTCACTCACTGGCTAGAAACATTGAGGAGTCAGTATCAGATCATCAGCCAGATCTCCACAGGTCATGATGTCCCTACCATTGAAACTGTGCCTTCAAGCACCAGCAGATCTGGAGAGCGGCATCACATCCAGCACCAGGCACCCTATGGCAGGTTCTCTCATTTCCACAGATGTGAGGCTGGGAGGCTACATGGCTACAGTTCTTTCAGTACTATATTTATAGGTTTTTTTATCTCCAGAAGAGTGATTCACAGTGTAGGCAACACTGATGGCTAGTCATATCAGCCATTTCCTTGCAGGAAGCAACCTACTTGGAGAATCAAGGGCCAAAGGCAAATCTAGCCAGTCCCCAACTGTTAGGAGATGTCCATCTTAGATATCATCAATAACACTACACATAATGACAAATTATTAGCTGAAAAAAACCCTAACATAATTGCTGTCTTATTCCATTTTCCCCTTTAACGTTTATATCTTATAATAACAAAACAAAGCATATTCTGCATATTGTAATACAGATTAAATTTTCAACCTGCCAT